GAATTTGGACTTCTCACCTCCTTTGTAAAGGTGAGACATAACATAAAGAGATAGCAATTACTAAGCATTGTTGGGTGAAAAAAGAGATCCCTTCTGTTACCTTAGTCCTCAGCTTACAGCCACAATCGAGTCCAATCAAAGCACAATATTGTTTTTATGTCTTTTGCAGTAGTAGCTGATAGGCACGGATGAAAAGACAACATAGTTTGACCACTTTATTTGGCAAGAAACCAAGAATGGAACAATCAGAATCAGACACAACAGATCCACAACCATCAGGGTCACAAGCACCACTGCCACCAATTGAACGTGGATAAAGCAGCAAGTCAATCTCTGAAACTGAAAGTCTTCCTGATCTTCCAGACTGCTGGACATTGCAGCAATATAGAAGTTTTCAAGAGAAGTATGAGGAACTGGAAATTTCAAAGAAAAAATTAGGTTGTAAGTACTGCGCAAAACATGATTTTGCATTAGAGAAAGGTGTTCAATGTGTCCAAGGAGTGGAAACATTTCAAGATTGAGGTGGCAGGGAAAACTAAAGAAGTTCAGCAAGCTTCTCTGAGGAAAAAAATGAAAGAACATTTTACATCCAAAGCTCACGCCATTTGCAATGATAACTTAAAACAAGGGGAGAAGGATGCTATAATGAAATCAGTAGGTAAGATGTCTGACAAATATTTATCTACTTCTGGAGTATTTTTGACTGTTTACAGTCTGGCACAAAGATGTAAACCATTTTCAGACATAGAAGGACAGGTAGAATTGCAAACTGTTATGGGAGTAGGATTGCATTCATGGTCAACTGCAGTGAAAATGGTTGATTTCATTGCAAAAGAAATTAAAACCAAAATGTTTACTAGCATTATTAAACAGAACCTGAAAATATGTTTAATTATTGACGAAGCCTCAACGCTATCATGCAAACCACTTGTGATAGTTTTTGTAAAAGTTGAGGATTCAGATAACCCACCAACAATTTTTGTTCAGCTTATTGAATTGGAAAAACAAGACGCAGAGACAATATGTTCTTCAGTTTTGGAAAGTTTAACATAATGGTTTACTACAGACTATCTGCAAAAAAATTTAATAGCATTTTGCTCCGATGGCGCCAGTGTTATGCTTGGAAGAAAATCTGGAGTGAGCACAAGAATAGCAAAAGACTTCCCTAACATTATAATATGGCACTGCTTAATCCATCACCTCCAACTTGTTTTATATAACTCCATAAAGGACATTAAGCAACTGAATCATTTCAAAATATTTATTGACAAGATACATAGTATTTTCCATAAACCCTGTAAGAGCCAGAATGAACTGTTTGAAATATCCAAACAACTTGGAATTGAAATTGTAAAAATTGATAAAAGTTTTGGGACCAAGATGGGCTGCCTGTAGTTTAAGGATAACCCTAGCTGTGTGGCATGCTTATCCAGTGCTACATCAGTACTTTCATGCAAATGAAAAATACTCCGGTATGGCTGTCCATCTTCAAAACATATATTTTTAAAATGATTTGGCATTGATGATTGATATTCTCAATGAAATATCTCTTCTGTCAAATGCGCTGCAAGGAAGAAATACCGACATCATAAAGGCCGAAAAACTTGTGCTGAGATCAATTTAAGCATTTGAAGTGCTCAGACAGAGAAAGGATCCCTATGAAAACAAGGTTGATGGATTAATTACTTCAGAAACCTTCAAAAATATAACATTTGTACAAAATCATCGATTTGTTGGACTTCCTCAGGAAAGACTTTTGGAAAGCATCATAATAAACTTGAAGAAAAAAACTAATGGATTGTCAACATTTATAAACAGGTAGCCAATTGTAAGACACCACAAATAAATTATGATTTCTGCATTTTTTGGAGCCAGATTACTGGAATATTGAAGAAGTCGTAGTTCCATGGCCAGAAGCTGAAGGACAATTGTTTACCTTTAATGAAATCTTTAATTATGAAATTAATAGCAATGATTATAAAGATTTCATAGAAAATGTTTTAAAAGATTCAAATAACTATGCAATTCCTGACAGTATTAAAAAAGCTAAAGATATTGCAGAACAATTGCTGTAAGTTCAGCAGAAGCGGAAAGGGGTTTCTCAAAAATAAACCTCATATGTTCAGAACAGAGAAGTTGCCTAACTGTTTCTAACATAACCAATCTGATGACCATTAGTGTGATTGGCCTACCTCTAAAAGAGGACCCTCTTCCTACTGTCAAAAAATGGTTACAAGCACACCATCACACAGCCAATGACCCGAGGGTGAAAACTAAGGAAAGTGCGAGCGAGGAGAGCGCCAATGAAAGAACACTGAGGAAACATCTCAAATAACACTTTTACGTAAGGACTTGTGTCCTTTATTGTTTGTGTGTGCTTGTTTTATTCTTATTTAAGTAGTGAGTGCACCAAATTAAAAACTTAGGAAAATATCTTCTTTCTGCAGATCATTCATTAGGCCAAAGTGGTCTCTGACATTGAAGACACATAGCAGACAGCACTGTTATCGTTCTTATGTAAGTACTTGTGTGTACCTCTTTCATTGTTTTGTGTACTTATTTATTCTTATTTAAGTACCGTGTTTCTCACAAAATAAGGCCAGGCCTTTTTTTTTTTTGAGCCCCGAAAAAACGGCTAGGTCGTCTTTTCGGGGGTGAATTAATTTCTCCCCCACACACACGCACCAGTGTCGTCTCCAACAGTACGGCGGGAACTGTGGAAGTTACGGAGGTGGCTCCCCCACCCGAGAAACAGCTGAAACACTTCCACGGTTCCCGCCGCTGGTGGAGATGGTGCTGGTGAGAGAGGGACAGCTGCAGCTCAGCCTGGGCGCTTGGAATGCAGGAACGGGCTGCACACCGGGACTTTTGGAAACTTGCAGAGCCCGAGGCTGGAGCACCAAGGGTAGCACCATATCAGAGAGAGACAGCAGGGATGGAGGAGCCAAGGGAGTGGCCATTGCTCAGGGTGGCCATGGACCTGTGTGGAGATTGGAGCTGGAGACCCTATCAGATCAGGAACAATGGGTCGAGGGGCCACCGGCGGGTGAACAACTGAAACGGTGCGTAAATCACCTTGTGAAGGAAGCCCTGGAGAACCTCAATGTGAGGGATGGACCAGGTCGCCAACGTAGAAGAGCGAGGGAACCAGAAATTGGGACAACCTGAGCCGTCACCTCTGATCCAGCTGAGAATGAGAATGCTCACACAGGGTGTGTTTAAATGTAAGCCTTTGTAATTTGGGATCTCTGTGGCTTTTGGCATATTCCAAGGCCTTATGGAGTGCTTGCTTCAGGGCATCCCTGGGGTTTCCATTGCCATTAGTGCTATGCTGCAATGCTTCTCCTTATGGGATAGGCGCCATTCACAAACCACTCCTTGTCATCCTATCAAGAGATGGTGAGAGTCCCCCTGTTTTGTCACCAAGGATGACCCACTGGACATTATTCCTCATTGCCTATTCCTACACCTTATTGTACAAGGCGGGGAAGCACCTTGGCCATGCAGATGCCTTAAGCGTCTGTTGATCCCGTGCCTTCCACAGCAGTACTGTTAATCGACAACCAGCAATTACCTATCACAGCCACGGACATTGCAAAAGCCTCATCTAACGACCATATTTTTTACAGGTATTAGACTGGGTGAGAAAAGGGTGGCCAGAAGGTTTTGTTCATGCCCAATTCCGGCCTTTCAGAGCCAAGCAAAATGAGTTATCCACCCAGTAAGGTTGTCTGTTATGGGGATGCAGGGTTGTAGTTCCCAGCCACTTGAGACCTAAAATACTGAATAGTTTGCACGAGGGCCATTCAGGGATGGCCCACATGAAGACTCTAGCAAGAAGCTATGTATGGTGGCCCGGCATAGACTCTGACATCACCACAAAGGTCAGAACCTGTCAGGCATTCCAATCCTCTAGGTCTGCCCCTCCAGCTTCTGACTCTGGAGAATGGGAGTCAGCTAAATCTCCATAGGCGAGGGTCCATATTGACCTTGCAGGACCCTTCCAGAGCCGCACTTTCCTTGTTATAGTGGACTCTTATTCTAAGTGGGTGGAGCTGACCCTCCTGCACACTATCACATCTGAAGCCATTATCAAGGCGCTAGATCACTTTTTTGCAACCCATGGATTCCCCGACATCCAGGTCTGCAATTCACTGCGGCTAATTTTAAGCTGTTCTTGGCTAGAAGGGGTATAAGGCACGCGCTCATCGCTCCTTATCATCCGGCTTCAAATGGCCAAGCAAAGAGAGCTGTGAGGGCGGCCAAAGAAGTCCTGGGGCGGTTAGAGGGCAAAGACTGGCATTCTAAATTAGCAAAGTACTTATTGATGCAGCATATTACCCCCAGTATAGTAACCAATTGCTCCCCAGCAGAGTTGTTAATGGGACAAAAGCTTAGGAACAACCTGGACAGGCTCCACTCTAGTTATGCCCCTACCATTCCATTAGAATCATTCAGAAAGGTGAGGTCTTTCCAGGTTGAGGACTTAGTATACGCCAGAAATTTTCTAGGTAATCCTTTGTGGCTACCAGGCAAAATATTAGCAGCTACAGGCCCGAAAACTTATAAAATAAGTTTGTCGGATGGCCGGGTATGGTGTCGACATATAGACCATTTGAGAGTGGGGTGGGGTTCCAGCAGACCCATCAGACAGCGAGCAGGCCGAGGCTCGATAATTCAAGGACGAGGAGGACGACATTCCAAGATATGAAGTAACATTCGACGAGCCGCAACAAGAAGCTGACCTACCATTTGAAGTTTCCCTGTGCGAGTCCAAGTCAGCCACGGAGAAGGGTCCAACACTGCCCCTGTTGGCGACTGCTGATCCTGCAATTGATCCTCCCCCCTCAGTGGTACAGGCTGAACTGCATAGGTTGAGGCGAGCTAGGCAACGCCCCACTTACCTAAATGACTATGCGTGCGCCTAATTGGTGGGGAGGAGTGTTACATTCAATGTAGCCTCCCATCAGGGTCTGCTCTATGAGCAGGAGCCGGAGACTGTTCCTATTGGCTGAGCCATCTGACAGCAAATGCTATAAAAGGGAGCTGTTGGACGGCGTCAGCTGTTGCCTGCTGCCCATCAGCTGGTCCTCTCAGCTCAGCAGCTACCACAGCAACCTCTTGCTTAATCAATAAACTAGTTAACTTTAGAGATTGTGGAACTTGTCCTTGCCTTCACAAAAGTAGGAAGTCATCTACGTCCTGCATTTGGGGGGGGGGCTTCCCTTGTGGAAGGTTGCTAGCCATCCTCTTGCTTCTCCCTCCAATCTCTCAGAAATGGCGCTCGCCATGGCTCTAGGGGAGGGGTGGAGGTGTCAATAGCATTCTAGGTGGATCTCAACTGAGTCAAGTAATAAAGCTAGCTAGTCTGGGTCCCCATCAAATTTCTCCCTGAATTGGGGAGGTTCGTTGAGCACTGTTCCTCTCTCCTCCTGTCCCCCTCTGTAATCCTGCGCTCGAGGTGGCTGGCCTTCTTCCCTGGCTCTACTTCGCACAGGGGGAGGGGGCTGCCTGTTGCATGGAGGAGGCACTGGCTGTAGCTTCTGACTCCTTTTCCTTCTGGTGGGTGAAGAAGGAGGGCTGTAGCCTCTCCTGCTACTCCTCACTTTAAAGGGCTTGGTAAAAACTCCCCTCTGGTTTGGGCAGCATGATGGGCCATCATCCCGGTCAAATTCCTCCCCCAGTTGCTCCATGGGTCTTCCCTGGGATTCCATCAGGAAATTTGGGGCCCTGGCCTATGCCCAGTCCCACATCCAATCCACTCTTCCCAGTTCACTCAAGGGCCTTCTCCCATTTTGGGCCTGGGGATGGGGAAACTCAGCCTCAGAGGCTTTAGGAATTTTCTTTTCCCCCCAGTACTTATCTGGGTTTCTTTCTTCCCCGCGAGCCGGTCCCTTTGCTTCAGAATTCAAGGAAGGCTGATCTCCAACTTTAATTATCAGCTTATGTTTGCTTCTGGATGGAGGCCAAGTCTATTTCTCCTTCTGATAACTCGATCTCTGCCATGGCTGCCTGAATTTCTCTCCACGTACCCCAGATGTCAGGCAGCGATCGGAGAGGCCGGGACCCAGGACTCCAGTCGCTGATTTATTGTGAGTGTCAGCTGGATGTCAGGGTTCTGACAATCCAGCCCATTTGAATCACGAGTCTCTAGCCACATCTCTCAGAGTTTTAAAAAAATCATTTATTAGGAGTGAACTTGTCGGCATTACCTGGGTGCAGCCGACACTGAGTCACATCATTCATCTCACCCTGGTCTTCCCCCACCCCCTGGATGTATATTTTCCAATGGGACACATCCATAGCCCAGAGTCATCAATCATGCTCTCCAGTAATAATCTTGTGCGCCAGAAGCTTCGGCCACCTAGCAATTATCTATGAAAATATTTGAGGTATGTATTACTCCCCCCCCCTCCCTTTCTGCTGACAACTCTTAAAAAACCAGAGAAATATTTTTGAGTTGACATCTTATTTAATTTCCCTACTTTTCTCTTTTCTTCTATTCCTTTCCTTCTTTGGCCTCGTGTGATTTTCTGTCAGAGATAGTATTAATTGTCCAAATCCAAATTGATCCACTGTGTTTTCTCCAATCTTTTGAATCCTCAGTCCAATAACCAATTTTGATAGTGTTTAATTGCTATCAATTTAGTTTGTCTTTAAAATCTTCAAAAAGGAAGTGAAACTCACTTAGTAATTCAAAATATCCAAATCATCTTCTGAGATAAAATCAAGGTCATACACTTTAATTAGAGGGTCTCATGCTATAGTACCCTTCTTCTTCCAGTAGATGGCAGTCCTTCCAAGTTCCAACATTAAACCATATATCAAAAACAGCTGATTTTTGGATAAATCTTGGCGGTTTAGGAATACAAATATAAAAGGTAGTTCCTCCCAAGGATCACCTTTCAGCTATTTTCCAGGTTTTTTATATTTTAAAGTTTCTTTTAAGCATTTTTTGCCTCTTAAAATAATGTTAGTTTTTAAGTGAGTAATTCCAGCGTTTCGAAAGTGTTATTTTGCTGCTGTTTAAAAATTCTTGTGAACCTCTCTTTTCCTAGATACTCTTTTGGGGTTAAAATAAAAAGAATTCTTCTCACCCAGTTCACATACAGTTCACCAAAGTCCGCTCCTGCACTGTGCTTAAATGGTTGTCATCTCTCCCACCTTCATGGAAGCCATCTTGGACTGCCTCTTCTCCTTGCCATGGCATAGATTGGAAAAAGCCCTGGGGTTCAACAGGAGATTGCGATCTCTCCTGCTACCTCACAGGAACCCACAAACAGGGAGAGAAGCAGCATAGGAACGGAGGTGACCATTCTCTATGACTAATATTGGCTGGGAGGCTCCTCCTCTCTTGTTTCTATCTGGTTGAAGTATTGTAATATCATGTCATTTAATTTCTTGAGATTGTCAATGTTCCTTCTTTGTAGTATTATTTTTCTTGAAGCTTCATCCATCTTCTCTCCAGTGTGTACTGTTACAAAAAGAAGAAACAAAAAGAAAAAGAGAAGAAAGAAAGAAATGTTTAAACGAATCTTGTCGTGTTAAATTCCATGCAGAGGTGGTATTCAGCCGGTTCGCAGCGGTTCTGGCGACCTGGAAGCAAGAATTTGGCATCGGTCACAGAACTGGTAGCGACTTCTGGCTGGCCATGCCCCCGAACCAGTTCCCCTGTCGCTCAGTTGCCCCACCCACCTGATGCTTGCTTGCTCGCGCAGCTCACCTGCCCACCACTTGCCGTGCCCAGTCACTCCTCCCTTCCTATGTGGTACGCTATGTGGCAAGCCCCTCGTGGCTTGCCTAACCTGACCTCCCCATGTGGTGCCTCGCCCCAGCTGAGCAGCCCTGATCTGCCTGCCGTACTCACAGGTAAGCCTGCGTCATGCTAGGGCCTCACCCATCTCCCGGGCCTTTTTGGGCCTCCCCCCCACTGCCCAGGGCCTTTCCGGGCCTCCCACCACCACCTGGGACTTTCCGGGCAGGAGGAGGCCAAGTTGGGGCATCTTTTTCAGGCCAGTCCAGGCAGGGGGGACAGTAGCGGCTGCAGCGTGGCTATGGGAAGCAGCCCCAGGAGTTCCCAGAAAGGCTTTCCGTTCGCTTTCTCCCTGCCTTTCAGGGCTCCTCCACCGCTGTCTCCGCTGCCCCATCAGCCTGAGCCCCAGCACAGCAGAGAAAGCAAATGGAAAGCCCCCGCCCAGCTTTCCCAGCGCCATTTTGGTTGTAAGAAAGAGAGAGGAGAGGGAGAGAAAAGAGCCCAAACAAAGCTGCCACCCTCCGCATCTCGAAAGACTCTGAACAGGTTGATCGAGGAGAAGCCAGGGCGCTTGGTGCTGTAGTTGCCGCCATGCCATTGAGTGGCTGAGAAGGAGGGAAAGGGAGGAAAACACACACGCACACACACATGCGTGCACGCACACACACACCGAGCCCTCTTTCCTCAAACTTGGATGGGATTTGAATCAGTTTCTTTTTCAGTTCTCTCTCAGTTGGAATTAGGAAAATAGGAAGCGTCACACCATTTTATTTCAATTATATGTGAATCTTTTTCCAGGTACAATTAAAGATAATTTATATGACTAAAAGCTGTAAACAGCTTGGGATCAAAGAACGAAACTGACTATATACTTCAGTGGTTCCCAAAGTCTTCCTGCCTGCTTGCCTGCCTGCCTGCCTGCCTGCCTGTCTCTCTATCCATTCATCCATCCATCCATGTTCGAAGCGCCGGCCCCACAGGCACATCGGGAAAGTAGAACAAAGCCAGTCTGGGAGGGAGGGAGGGAGAGAGAGAGAGAGAGAGCAAGAGAGAGAGAGAGAGCTGATGCATCAGATTGAAATGAGGCCTAGTTTAGACTGAGGCCCTTTTCCACATTGAAACATCTTTGGCTTCTATTAAAGGTTTTGTGGACGAACCATGGTCAGGGCTATCAGGAAGCTCTCACATTTTGTTGAGGCTTTAAACAGGATCCATTGGACCAGATCTCCACCCTAAAAATTACTTTTCCCAATGTATAATAGTGCCAATTCTGAAGAAGGCAAAACCAAAATGTATTGGTAAATTACAAGAACACACACACACACACACTCCCTTCTAACCTTGCTGGAGCAGGTGATTGGACTAGAATAGATATCTCATCTTTCTCCTCCTTCCCTCCCTCCTTTATTTCTTTTTCTTTCTGTCCCTTCCTTCCATCTCCCCCTTTCTTTGTCTGTCCCTTTTTCTTTCTTTCCCTTTTCTCTTTCTTTTCTCTTTCTCTCTCGCTTTCTTTTCTCTCTCTCTCTTTCCCTCTCTCAGGCTCACCCCATTGACTTGGTGCACTGCTCTGCTCGGACTTGCTTGGGCAGGTCCCTCCGGTGCAGCGGGCTCAATGGGGTGGACCTGTGGGGCCGGCACCTAGAACGCAGCAGTGGCAGCACATTTGAAAAGTAGAGCAAAGCCAGAGGTTGGTAATTTTTGCTGCAAAGAATCACAAAAGCTTCTGGGTTGTGCACAAAAAAGGACACACATGTCAATGCAATTCAGCAACATAAAATAAAGAGATACAAATAAAAATCAACAAGAATCCTCAAAGCATCTCTGATTAGATTCTATTCACTACTAGAATCTAATCAGAGATGCTTTGCCGATTCTAGTCCAATGACCTGCTCCAGGCAGGGTTGGAAGGGAATGTGTGTGTATGTGTGTGCATGGCTGTCAAAACTCCAAAAGCAGGTCAAGTAGCTCTGGAGAGGCCAGTCATAAATTAGAACACTTGTAAACAACTGGCCATTAAGTGAGGACCACTTGTATTTGGTTTGCCAGTCACCTGGCCACACCCACCCAGTCACATGACCACCAAACCACACCTAGCCGGTCACGTGACCAGCAAGCCATGCCCACCCAGTCACATGACCAGCAAGCCACG